TATGATTCCATTTAGCGAACAAAACTTTTCAAATTCTTGAGAAACAAATGAAGTCCTGTTATCTGAACAAATGGCTTTTATTAAACCAAACCGTGACATAAGTTCGCATAGTTTCTCTATTATAGTTTTGGTACTATACACCTCCATGGCCCAGTCTGTTACCCTGGTCTTCCTATGAACTAATTTAAAGTGAAAGACACAAGGCTACTAAAAATAACAATTTCTTTCTGTTATAGTCTATGTGTGTTGTTTGTTGTTGTAGATACTCCTCTCAGGTAATTCTATCGAAATTCACACACAAATTTCACAAATTTTGAGTAAAAAACGCATGTTTTCCTTAACTTGACATTGGCGAGATCATCGATTGAATTATTTTTTTTATTCTAATGTAAGTGTGTGTTCTAATTAGACCTCCAACTCACCTGATGGAAAGTGAGGATGAGGTCGACGATGGAACATGCACACCTAAATAATGCCTATTCACTCTCGCCTTGAAAAGGTCCAAGTTGTAACGTTCAGGAAACAAGTCTGCAGGTAGGGAATTCCACTCCATAGCCGTTCGCCATATAAATGTGGAAGCGTAACGTTTCGTGCGAATCTTTGGAATATCCACAACATAGGGGTGGAAGCCAAGCCTACGCCTAGTCCCCAGATGATGGAAAGGGGAAGGCGGAATTAAATCGTGTAATTCCATAGCACACTCTCCGTGATATATTCTGCAAAATACCGATAAGTAGGCAACTTTACGGATGTGTTCAAGGCTCTACAGCTTCGCCTCTACTAATTCCGAGTCACCTATAAGCCTATTGGCATGCTTGTCAATTAAATCTAAGGTGTCCAGTTGGTATGTAGCAGAGCCATCCCAAAGGTGGCGGTAGTACTCCATACGTGACCGGACTTGTGCTTGATACAGCTGAAGCAACTGTCCCGGTGTGAAGTAACGCCTCACCCTGGAAAGGATCCCAAGCTTCCTGACTGCATTTTTGGCCATGGATTCCATGTATCTGCTGAAGTTCAGATTGGACGACAGGTGAATTCCAATTAGCTGGAGACGGTCGGTTATCGGTATGGATATATCACGAAAAGTCGGAGTCAGCTCAAAAGGACTCCGCTTAGTGAAAAATAAACACGCCTGCGTTTTGGTAGCGTTAAATTTGACTAGATAGGCATCACCCCAATCAGAGACTGCCTTGAGCGTCAAATCTAAGAGGCTAACCATGGACTCTCGACAAGACTGGATTTCCTCTCCACTGACCCTTGCATTGGTCAAGTACCTACCTACAACTGTGCTGTCATCAGCATACGCAAAGGTACTTGGAATTAACGTATCATTAATAAGCAGCAAAAAGAGAGTTGCAGACAGTACGGAACCCTGAGGAACTTACATCTATCGCCATATGTTCGGAAGAGTAGCCTTCTAAGATAACTCGAAAGGAACGTTCACACAAGAAATCCGATATCCAATTGCAAAGGTCAATGGCAAGCCCATAACATGAAAGTTTGCTTAAAAGGCTTGCGTGCCAGACCCTGTCAAAGGCCTTAGAAATGTCCAAAGACACTGCAAGTGCTTCGCCTTGCTTTTCTATAGCCTCGCTCCATATGTGACAGGCATACACATGAAGATCCCCGGTAGATCGCCCTCATCGGAATCCATACTGGCAATTGTCTTCAAGGTATGATAGGAGACGGTTGTTGAGTACACGTTCCATAGTCTTGCAGAGTATGGAAGTGACTGAAATAGGTTTATAGTTCACAGGGTCAGCTCTGCTTCCCTTTTTGGGCACAGGTTGCACGTTTGCAAGCTTCCACGACCTGGGAACTACACCAGTCTCAAGTGAGAGGCGATACAGGCGCGTGAGAACAGGAGACAACTCAGGCGCACAGTTACGTTGGATTACCACTGGAATTCCATCTGACCCGCTAGCTTTATTCACGTCAAGATTCCGTACAGTTCTAAGTACCTCGTTTTGGCATATGCGAACTGGCGCCATAGTGCAGCCATCCTGAGGTAAGGTAGGTGGTACGTTCCCTGCGGCATCAAGACGCGAACTCTCTGCAAAGAGTGAGGCAAAGAGATTCGCCTTCTCTGCTGCAGTATGGGCCAGTGTGCCATCCGGCCTCAGCAGAGATGACAAAGATGGGTGACAAAAGTTACTTTGGACCGCTTTGGCCAGGGACCAAAAGGATTTGCTACCTGCTGAATAAGAGGCAAGCTAGGCCCCTATGCGGCGCACGTGGTCGAACTTGGCCCTGCGTAACACGCTTTTGCACTTCTTGACGACTATATTAAAAGCTTTTCTCAGATTCTGAGTACTCAGAGCTTTGCGCAGTCGAGTATCTGCCCATGCTTGACACGCGGACTGCTTTTGTGCTTCAGCACGACTGCAGTGAGCATTAAACCATGGACGAGCTTGGAGTCCATTGGGTACATCGGAGTGGATATGTAATACTCCATACCCAAACGCAAGACCTCGACTACAGCATCAGCACAGCTCGACGAGTCTCCTGAAGAAAAGCAAACCTGCCAAGGACATGAGGCAAAGAAATGGCGCATTTCATCCCAATCTGCTAACCTGTATCGCCACACCCGTCTCATACCACTAAGGCCCTGATCGGGTGGGGAATATACAGATACAGTTTTCACCAGACAATGGTCGAAAGTACCCAGTGGGACATCAACAACCACAAAATATTGGTCCGGATCAATTGTCAGCAGAAGGTCCAAGCAATTAGCCGTATGAGATTCAACATCTGGTATCCTAGTGGCACCACTGACAAGCTGGGATAGGTCTAGCGTTAACGCCAGTTTACGCGTCTCTCTCCCAGCATGAACGGTCATCTGGTGTGGGAACAGCCATTCTTGATGGTGCACTTTAAAATCCCCCAGAATGACTAGTTCGGCACCTATGCTGAATCTCATCAGACGTCTCACTCAGATATTGGAACAGCTTGGTTGTCTCCTGATCTCCACTGTGCGATCGGTAAACACAGCAGTACACAATTTGTGTAAATCCTGTGTCTACCAGAAGCCACAAAACAGAAAAACTCGGTGCCTTAAGGTTCTTGAGACGCTTGACACAGATGTCATCGCGAACGTACACAC